AGGGGCTTTGTGGGCCTGTGGAGGTGGGGGGGCGGGAGCTGCCGCTCGGAGGGGTTTCCTTTGTGGCCGTGCTCGGGCGCGTGGAGGAGAGCCCCACGCCGAGGACTTCCCTGCTTTCCATGAGTACCTTAATACCGGTTTAATAACCCGATTTTCTACGTGAGTGGCTCTCCTGTCTGAACCTCCAATCTAATCTCGTTAGCGGGGCTGGGGCCTGCGCCAGCTGGTTTTAGCAGAATCCGTATGATTTTCCTTTCCCTGATGGATGCACAAAAGACACAAAGGCTCCGGTGGGTCGGGTTCGGCTCCCGCTCGAGCTCTGCGCCCTTTGGCTCTCCCAGACGTGCGAGCGCTCCGCGCTGTCGCTGCTGCAGTCCCACGGCAGCGCTTACCCAAAAAGGCAATAGATTAGGATGCCGCAAGTTCTCCCGTTCGGAGCGGAGGCAATACTGGTGCATTGCACAACCCTCGGCTCCGGGTGGCCCTCCCGGTGTGGCACAGCTTGCCGCGCTCCTCCGCGAGCATCCCTTCTCCGACGGAGAGGGATCGGGGCAGAGCTGGAGCAGGCCCGGGCGCTCTCCTACCTGTGGGGGCTCCTCTGCAGCCGGGTGCGCGGGGAAGGCGCTGAGGCCGGGCGGGCTCGGTGCATGGCACAGCAGGGCAGCGACGCTCTGCTGCAGAGCAGCACACGTGGCGCTGGCGCAGCTGCCCCGCGCCTGTGCCGAGGGTCCCTTTGCTGCATGGCTTTAGGGTCACCTCAGCCTCTGCTTTCGGGTGCTCCCCAACGGCCGGGCGGCCGCACTGCCGGCGATGAGAGCCGGTTCTTGTACCGGGCTCGTGTTTGTCAGGCTCTGCTCTTCCCTCCTCCGGGGGTTAGCGGCTCTGCCGAGCGTTTCCACATCTCCGCCGTGGTCACCAGGGCGAGCAGGTCATCCCGTGGTCTTCCCATGCGCGCCAGGGAGCCTCTCATCTGCCCCCTGGCCCTGGTAGGTTGGAACGATATAATTCCCTTTTCCAGCTGGAGGAATCTGGGCTCAGGAGAGGCGATAGCCAAGGGTGCCCCACGTGCTGCTGTACAGGCCCCGGAGATGGGGCTATGGGAACAGCTGGAGCAGGGGGCTGCACCCCCAATTTGGCGGCACCTCTCCACGTTACGGCTCACCAGGGTCTGGGTGTGGGGGATTTTGCTCCCGAGCACTGGGAAATTTCAGCCTTTTCCTGGTCGTTGGTCATGGACCGTCTCTGGAAGTGCCTGGCACGTGGCTGCCAGCAATGCTGCCGAACTGGGCCCATCTCAGAGGCCTTGGGGCTGTTCCTGCTGCTGCTGCAGTTCTGGGCCTGTCCGTGGCGGCCAACTTGCACATCTGCACAGATGTGTCCTGGGAGCCGGTGAGCGGCGGCTAACAGAGCCCCGCTCCATCCAGGGAGCAGCCCGCTCCACCGTGCAAGCCGTGCTGCACATGGAGGCCTTTTCACCATCTCGAGCACCTCGGCGTCGGTGGCAGAGCCGAGCTCGCCCGGCGCTGGAGCGGTGCCGGAGCCCGGGCCAAGGCTGCGGCTTAGCCCGTCTTAGAGGCTGTTGACATATCAGAGAGCGCAGGAGGAACCAACGCTGAATGATGATGATAATGAATAATAAATTATGTGATTCTTTGTACTTCCATAGAGCCTTTCATCCCAAAGCTCCTAAAGTGCTTTGTAATCATTAATTTATTAATCCTGCCAATGCTTCGCGGAGGTAGCTCGGAGAGGCGGTTTCGGCTGCTGTGCGGTTTGTCCCGGGAGGCGGTGAAGGAGCCGCTTTCTTTCCTTGATCACATCTAGCAGCCCTGATTCTGCGTGGATTTCAGCACCTGCTTCGCTGTACCCGGGTGCTGGGGCTTGGGGCTGAGCTCCGGAGCCTCCCGGGGCTACGACCAAAGGCTGGGGCTGATGCGGCCACTGGGATTTCGCTGCTCCCTGCAACCTGGTGAGGCTGCAACTCGGGTGGCTTGAGGTGCGCGGGCTCTTACGGGCCACGGGTGGAAACTGCTTGCAGAAGGCTCCTGGTCCTGCATCCTTAACTGCTAGCACTGTATTTTTTCACAAAAGCTCTAAAATCCATGTATTTCCTTGTGCCTGGCAGCAGGGCCGGGCACGGCTCCGCTCGGGGGGAAGGACCGGGATGTGATCCTGGTGCCACGAGCGCGCGGGAAGGCAGCAGCCGTGGGAGCCGCTCTTGGCGAGCGCCAACGTGATGCCCACGGGAACTGGGGGCCTGGGCTGCCAAGTGGGCGCAGGGAGGAGAGGAAGATGCTCTTTTTCAAGCATCCCGCCCACTGAGAGCTGCTGCGTGGATTCTGAGCTTGTTTTCTTCTCTTTTCCAATAAGCTGCAAAACCAGCTCTGTTGGTCAACAGTCATGCATCGAATTAATGGGCATCTGTTTAAGAGCAAACTATAAACATATTGATTTATAGTTACTGGGTATGTGGCGGCTGGTTGAATTCTGCGGGAAAGGAAAGAAAATTCTTTAATAGCGGTAGTTTGGAGCTAGGAGCTCCCTTGGCCTGGAAGATACGGGCCGTGGTCCGTGGTGTGGTCCCTGCGGCAGGAGGTGGCCTGGGGACACGGATGGGGCCGGTGCCCTCTTTGCTCTCTTCAAGCGTGCCAAGAGCCTCGGGTGTGGGCCAAGTGCATGGAGCTGGGCAGGATCGGCCTTCCCTGCTCTCCAGCATCACCAGGAGGATGCCCAGGGGGTTGGCGGGATGGAGGAGCATCCCCCATAGAGAGGGGCTGCCAAAGGCTCCCCGCTACGGGTTTATTTTTAGCCAGCGTTTGGCCCCGGGCACCGGTTTTGCTGCCAGGGCGGTTCCTTTTGCAATCCCTCCTGGTGCTCAGCCGGCAGGAATTGGGGCAAGGAGGTAGCCGGGAAGGCCAGCGCGCGGGCACCCACTGCCTGCAGCTGGTGACCGCGATCGCTGCAGGAGCAGCAACGCGTGGAGGGGCCGAGACGCCCGCGGCGGGTTGGGGGCTGGGAACAACTCGCCGCTGTCCTGTGCCACCGAGACGCAGGACATGCTGGTGGCAGTTCCATGGGCTGCTGGTGATTTGGGGGTTTCCTGCAGCGGGTGTCACCTGCAAAGCTTTGCCCATGGGCAGCTCCCTGTGAGCCTCCTTTGATGCCTGGTCCCGCTGATCCCGGCCTGCAGCCCCTGCACGACGGAATGGGGCAGAGAGGGGAGAAGCGACCGGCAGCATCTCCAGCCCCATCTGCAACAGAGGGGAGAGCAGTTTCCCGGTGCCCTCGCGGCAGCTCCGGGGGCTGCGGAGGCATCGGGAGAATCGCATTTCGTTTATCCACTGACATGTTAATGGATCTGCTTAACCGCTCTGCTGACCTTTGCTGCTGCCGCTGTAATTAAGGTTGTGCAACAAGAAACTCTGAAGTCATCAAAGGCAGCGGCTGCTCCGGGGAGGAGGCGCCCGGCGCACTCGCCGCGTTATCGGGGTGACATTCGCCCGCTCGCCGTGTTCCTACCTCCCCCGGCCGCTGCGGAGGGCACCGGCATCGGCAGCTCTGCCCGTCCTCGCCGGGATGCAGCTCCGGGGATGCAGCTCCGGCAGGCGGGACCGTCTCGGTGCTTCGCTCCGTGGCAATTGCTGTGAGCGTTTGGTCCTGGGGATGCACGTCGCGCTAGGGATGCAGTTCCTTGAGGTGCTAGGGAGAGATCAGGGCTATTTTCCTGCATCTCCTCCAAGTTATTCTCCCCTTAAGGCACGTTTTTGGTTCCTAATGGAAGGAGGGTTGTTGGGTACCTCCGTGTTTCTTCCCTGCGTGTTTCCCTGGCAGGGAGGAAGACAGAGCAGGGGGCTGCAGGAGGGGGCTGCTGTGTGTCCCTGGTTTTCCGTCTCCGGCAGCCCGGAGGAGCTGTGGTCCTGCCATGGAGCATCATCCCTGCTGTCTCCTGGGAAAGCTGGAAGGAAACACAGCTAGGATGAGCTGACTGCAGCCTCCTGCTCCCACTGCAGGGCCATTTCTGTGCCATCCGTTCATTAATTCCCACGCGAGGTCCCTCTGCCCTTCCTGTGCCGGCTCTGCCACGAGCAGCCGCCGCTGTGTTTTCCCCGAACCCAATTTCTGAAACCTAATGTTGGGCCCTTAAATATTTAATAAAGTCTAAAAAGGGTTTTAACGGCGTATTGGTTTTCCTGTCGGTGCCGGCCCCAGGGGAGCCGGGAGCAGCGCCGCGGGCCGCCCTGCTCC